TCAGTTCTCTTAAGCGCTGAGCCATTTCTACACCTCCTTGTTACCCGTTTCTGTGGCTTCAAGCACTCCACTTTTGTTGTTGTTAAATAATTTCAATGGAGCAGATTTGGCCACTGCCCTGCTAATTTTTGGTTCTTACGCTTCCATTTGCTGAGGTTACAGTGGTGTCTGAACACGTCTGCGCTCCCCCCCCTCCCCCGGTGTTGGGAGAACACATCTCCCAGAAGGCTGTGGACTGGGAACTTGGATTCCTCAGCTTTGTGCTACCAGGTCAACTCAAAACAGGGAGAGCTGACTCCATCGGCATAGCCGCGAAGAGCACGATGGGAAAGGGCAAAACGGAATCCAGAGTCTGTAATTTCATATGGGAAGGGGCATCCCCTCACTTCTGCCCTACTGGAAGAGAAGAGACTACACCAGTCCATGCTCAGGGGGAGGGAAGCATCCCAGGGCGTGAGAATCCGGGTGGGATTTTTGGAGGCCATATCAGAGGCAGCTACACAATGACTCCGGCCCCAGGAGGAGTAGGCGGAGGCACCCAGCAGGAACTTGGACATCTGCATTGGAAGCAACAGGAACATTCTGGGGTGGAGAAACAGAATTGGGACTTAACAGCATGTTATAAGCAGGGGGTGAAATCATGGGAATAGATAAAATCAGCTAGGAAAAAAAACCCCACATTTTTTATATCCACTAATTACTAGTATCTACTAATTACGGTTAGAAAAATTGAGATTGAAAGTGAAAACAGATGTAGAAAAAGATAGTGTTGATAACGGAGATTGCTTGCCACTCCTGTTTTAACTAGACTTCCAGATTGCCGTGACAACAGGTTAGGGTACGAATGGTATAAAGAGACTGTTGTTGGGAGCCCCCAAAAAAGCTCATTCTCTACTTAAAATTCTTAATGTAAGGGACTAATTGAAACCCACACGCGAGAGGGTAGTTTTCCCTTTGTCAGTCTGAATGCAAAGGTCAGGATGGGTCTCAGTACTTCCAGGTCTCAGTCATGAAGATAATAAATACTCGAGTGGTGTAATTTATCACAGTCATTTAAGAAACTATACCCGCGGGTCCATAGTAGCCTGATGCCCTTCATAAACACTCAGGCCAGGGTGTGTCCCAAGGAAGGATGGGAAAATACCTCATTTGTCTCCTCTGACCCCAAATCATCCCTCTCTTTCTGCTTTTGCCTCTTGCTCTTGTGTGTGTGTGTGTGTGTGTGTGTGTGTGTGTGTGTGTGTGTGTGTAATGTTCTTCATGACCATTCTGTGAAGCCAAACCCTACCCTCCTTTCAAGGCACCACTAAATCCCGTCTTGTCTATTAAATCTTCCTGACCAGAGCAGTCATTCTGCCCCACCCACCCATCTCCCATGTGGGCTTCTGTTTTGGTGACACCCAGCTTTGGGAGGATTCCTCAGGCCATTTTCTGTGCTGGCCCTTGTCTTCCAGGCCAAGTCCTGGTAAACTTTGCTTATTGGAAAGCCTCTCTTCGAATGCCTGTTTTCATATATTTGTAAGCTGTAAAGAGTTATTTCACTTTTGCTTCATTGGAAACCGTCAACAGAATGCTTCACTGCCCATGAAAATGAAATGAGACCTACATGTCAATCAAGGTCCACATATAAAATTTGAGTTTTGCTTATAAAATGCTTGGAGAAATGTACTCTCCTTCCTCTCTCAGCTCATTGTTTGGAACCTTGCAGATATGGACTCCTTTTTTTTCTCTTCTGAGAGAAGGTAAAGCACCCTGGGAAGGATTTTTGGTGGCATCTGCTAGCTCTAGCCTGGTGTGGCACACGGAGCTGGTGTTTGGTAAACATGTGTTGAATGGCACTCAGGGAGGATGTGTTTTTAATTTGTGATGGATCCAGCAGTCCATCCCTTCTTTCTGGCAAGGCCTCTTCTTTATTCTCCTCTGCTGTTGGACTGGTATCTGTTATGTCTGGTAGAAAAAAAAAATGACAGGCAATACCAGGGTGGGACCAAGAGCTCATGGAAAACACAAGTGAAATGAGGCTGGGAAATGGAGCTTTTGTTTTGGGTGGAGAGGAACTGTTTGCTTTGGGGGATTGAGGTAATGAAAGTTATTTCAATAACATAACTCAACAGTTGTACATGCTCTCTGCCAGAAGTATGGCTAGGCGAACCTCACCCAGGGACCCCCATCTGCAAAAGGAGGAGGTTGAGTCTGAAGTGAGAACAAATTCTCTCTGTCCGGCAGATGACAAAACTATACAGACCCCACGGTTACAGCTCTGTAGGATGTATCGTAGGGACAAAGAGTCATGGGGAGTGAAGAGAAAGAAAATAGTTGTTAGAAAGGCGGATTATATGGAAACACTTAAAAATTAAATAGTGAAAATATTTTCTTTGATAAAGAAAAGTTGTGAAAAATGATGGAAACATAAAATCGTCTCATCCTTGCTGTGTTTAGCAGATGGTGCTTGACTTTGGTCAAATTGGTTAAATGAGTCATGAACTAAGCAATCCAATGTAGAGCATAAAAATACGTTTCCACTGTCTACCACTCAACCTTTCTTTACTTTCCGTCTTCACAGCCAAGGTTCATTTCATTCACTCTCAAGAAAGTAGTGGGGGAACTGAGGCACACCAAGGCTCGGCCAGTAGCTGGAAATGTGTCGGTCCTTCCTTTAGTACAGAGAGTAATGAGGAAGAATGGGGTGATGTCTTAAAGTTGACATCATATCGTGATCTCGAAAAGAAGTCTATTGGCTCATTTAGCTAATATTTGTGGTTCCCTCTTGCTGGAAAAGTTGTCCCACTTGGAAGCCCTGAGAAGGAGAAACTGAAAGTGAAAGGCAGGCACAGCATTGCCGTAGCCCTTGGTGACCCTACCCAGAGATAAACGGATCCTTACTGGGGTTTCTTCTGTGCTACCCGGAAAAAAACCTGCGAAGGGCCTGGGCTCAGGGGCTCCGTTACATTATGTTGTAGCCTCCAAGAGACAGGGTCACATTGCCTCCTGTATGTCATCTGAATACAGGGAAAACAGGCGATTTCAAGATCGTACAATGGGTGCAGAAGAGCCTGGACACACAGAGGACAGGCCGAGGTCCTGTTTGACCTCCAGGAGCCTCGGTTCTGGTGACCTATGGTCCCTTAACTGGCCCCCTTTCCCACCCTCAATAATCTCCCTACCACCTTATTGTGTCTCAGGAACTTTGAAAAACATCCACATCAAGCTCCACCACAGACTTTTAAAAACAGAACTTCTGGGTCCTTCCGTCCGAATATTTTAAGTACCTAGATCCTACTGTGTGTCCATGGTTAAGAACCTTTGCTCTCTCTCTCTCTCTAAGTGGTCATGCCTTAAAAGGATTCAAGGATCCTTTCTCAGGGAAGCTTTCTCTATCTGCCTCAGCCTAGGCCTAGTCACCCTGGTGTACGGCAGCTCAGCGGTGCCCTGTGTTTGTTGGCATGTAACTTTCGAGCTATTCATTGTTTCAAGCCTGCCTTCCCCGTAGACCACTGCTGTGCAAGGGGACTGAAACGCCTCCCTTACTGGCAAGTGATTCATCTTTGCTCCAGGTGGCACGGATAGTGTTCAGTATCTAACTCTTGGATGAATGCTTCTTTATTTCACTACAGGTGGTATGTTCATGTGCGTGTATGTGTGTGTGTGTGTGTGTGTGTGTGTGTGTGTTCATGTGCGTGCGTGTATGTGCGCCAAGTACATTGTTCGGAGGACAATGTTCAGAAATCTTCCCATCATGGAGATCCTGGTGATAGAACTCATGTCATCAGGATCTGCTGAGCCATCTCCTGGCCCTTGAATGAATTATTCTTTACTCAACCGAGGATGTGTGGCTAAATCTCCAGTTCACGGATCTGTTAAGAGGACTTTTTTGAATGTAAGACCTTAATCAAACCAGACAAAATATTTTAAAAATTCTGAATGTAAATCAGTGTCTTTATCTTCCCATTCAGGTATCAAGGCCATGCATTGAGTCCATCATCGTCATGAAGTGTGCTCCATCTCAACATCAAGATCAAGTTGATAACTTGCCTCAATTTCTATAATCTCATATCTGGCACAAAATGTTGAAAACAAGAAAAATCTCCTTCAACAAGATGCATACATTCTTAGGGTACACGTTTGTGCTGAGCGTGACAGTTGGTGATTGGGAATTCCTGATCCCCCCCCCCTCATGTGTGTCATGTGCACACATGTGAAAATAGGGTTCTCCCAGGAAACCCCAATCTTAATTGAGGGTTGGACAAGAGGATCGCCTGAAACCCAGGCTCCGACTGACTCAGCCTTTAGCAGCCTCTTGGATTTGGCTTAGGTGAGTGGCTCGTCCTGAGCCTTGAAAGAACCACTCCTCCCGTGGGCTCTTGACACTGACCAGCCCCTTCCCCTGCTAACCTGCAGGCTGGCTCAGTGGGGGTGGCCTTGAGACACTTCCTGCCAGAGCCTGGAGGCCTGCAGTTTCTCCTTCTGGTCAGACAGCAGAAGGGTGGGCTGAAAAGTAAGGGCCACTGCTACGGGGGCCCTTTCCGCCAGGGTCTCCTGGGCCTCCGTGGCCAAGGTGTCCCTCACGCGTTCTCCGTGCAGGTGATACAGCTCTTCACGCTTCTGATCCCGGGGATCTCCGGGTCTAGACCTCAGCCTCAGAGCGGTCTGAACCTCTAAACCGCTACTCCACCTCTTCCCATTCCCTCTCTTCTCCACCCCGGGACGGAATATCCCAAGCCCGGCAGGACTGCGCCTCCTTCCAGGGCGCTGATCCTGCGAGTGAGGAAGGCCCCAGTCCCGGGCGGCGGCTGGCAGAGGGGAGTGGAAAGGGAGGACAGATGGGGCCGGGGGGGGGGGGGCGGAGGGGGGGGAGGCAGGGGGGGTGTCATTTTCTTTTTCTTTCTTTCTTTTTTTTTAAAAAAGTATTTCTCTCGCGAGAAACCGCTGCGCGGACGATACTTGAAGAGGTGGGAAAGGAGGGGGCCGCAGAGTTGGGGCAGAGACTGTGGGTGCCACAAGCGGCCACGGCTGGGTCAGCTGCGGAGCAGAGCAGCCACCGCCGCCTGGGAGTCCGAGCCGCTAGTCCAGTGGGTCTCGTGGGGTCCCGCCAGGGTCGGGCTGCAGCTGGGGGCTGGGGGCCCGTTTGCGCGGTACCCAGGGCAGGAGGCCAGGCAGGGTGAGGGGCTGTCTCGGAGCATCTGCAGCTGGCCCTCCCTCTCCGCCTGACAGCTGCAGGACCCGGGACTGCCGTGCCCTGCTCCACGTCGGATGCAGGGGACTGGCAGGGGTGGCGGCGGCCGGGTGTCTGAGCTGAGAGAGGACCCTGTTTGGGAAGCTGGGGCGTCAGCCCTCATCGCGCGCGCAATCAGTGTCATTAAGGCAGTGTGGGCAGCCGGCTCGCGGGACGCTTGGGCTCCCCGGGGACGCGGTGCTTGGCGCCGCGAGGCCGCTGGCTCCGCGGATGCTGGTCGCCAGGCTCTGGGTCCGCAGCCAGCTGGGGAGCCGGCGGTCCTCGCTCATCCCAGTAACTGCGCCACGCGCAGGCGGCGCGCGGGCTGGGCTCTGCTTCGCGGGGACTGCGTGCTTCAGCATCCCGGAGCCCTGAGTGTCTCCTCCCGCCTTGGGGACTTTTCTGTGTTGCAGGGCAGGGGCTGCCCGAAGTGGGAGAGCAGCGCGCCGGGAGAGGAGAGCGGCAGGAGCCAGGCCAGGACGTCCCTGCGGCGGGACAGCGGGACAGCAGGACCCCGGAGGCGCGCGGGGCGCTAGAAGGCGCGGCTGGTGGCGGAGCGAGTGGCGGCCGGCGGCACCATGCGGCGAGGAGGGCTGCTGGAGGTCGCGCTGGCGTTCGCCCTGCTCCTCGAGTCCTACACGAGCCACGGGGCGGATGCCAACCTGGAGGCTGGGAACCCGAAGGAGACCAGAGCCAACCGGGCCAAGAGAAGAGGCGGTGGAGGACACGATGCTCTGAAGGGGTAAGGGAAGCGCTCAGCTGCTTCGGCGTGCCTCCCCCTCGCCCTTCTTGGGACTTTTAAGATCCAAGGCAACTGACAGGGCTGGTTCTGGCCGGTAGAGGACCCTGAGTGAGACCTGCTGGGGGGAGGGGGCGGGGAGGGAAGGACAGCTTGGAAGTGCCGAGGTTACTCGGTCACCAACTCTCCTTCGGATAGATAAATCGCCGCGTTCCTGCCCCAGAGGAGGGGACCTGGCTGGAGGGAATCCTGGCCCATTGTTGAGGCAGATTTGGGGAGGCGAGGAGGGCTCCTTGTGGAAGAAGGGGAGGAGCTGAAACCCAGAGAAAGGGAGAAGCCCACTGCTTTTGCTGCAGCAGTTCCGGCAGTGTGCGGGGAGAAGGGCTTTCCTGTATGGGCATCGGCTGTTGAGGAGGCAGAGAGGAAGATGGGATGCGTGGTCAGTAGATAACTCTCCCCTAAGTCCCGCATAGGCAGTGCCGTACGCTCCCTTTCAGATGTCTGTCCTGGAAGTCTGCAGGGCAAAAGTTTTAGAGAAAAGTGTCTGGGCTGTGTGAGCTCTGCGTGTCACTGCCGGAGTAATGTCGCTCTGGCTGGCCCTCAGCCGGTGTTAACAATGTAGTGTCTACTTGGAAAACCCTCGTACCATTGGCTTCCCATGCCCTAGTGTTGCAGCAGGAAAAACTTAAAGCTGGCAGGTTAGCCGGCTATGGCTTGGCAGTTTCCGGAGCTTAAGGAGAGCGGAAATAGTTGCCTTAAGATTTTTTTTTTTAAACTGTTAAAAAGGACAGTCTGAGATTAAGTTCGAGCCTCTATTAGAAGCAGTGGGACGGAAGAGCTGTCCTTTGGAAGAGCCTGCTCGCAGGTCCCAGGCAATGCATACGCTGAAGTTTCTTTCCGTTCTCAGGGTGCTTTTTACCTGAGTGATCCTGTGACTTGATTATGTGACCCTGGAGGACACGATGAAGGTGTTCATTGGGTCTTCTTCTTCTTCCTTTTCTTCTTGTACTTGTTCTTCTTCTTCCTCCTCTTCTTTTCGTGTTGGCTGTTTTGTGTATGTGAACCTTGTGTTTCTATTGCTTCAGTACAAGAAGCAAGAGCTGCGTGTGTGGAAGAGTTCTTGAGTCCTTGTCTGGTCCCGATAAGCATCAGTGCTTATAAGCCCCGAGGCTGTGATAAAATGTTTGTGACTCTTTGATAGCTAAAATCAGTTCTGTCTTGACCTTTGTGAAATACAGCTAGAATCCCAGCAACATCATCAATAAAATCTACTGATCCTGGCCAAGCAGCAGACAATGGTTGCCCTGTATAGAAGGCTCCTTGGAAAGCTTAGAGAATGGGTAGAATCGCTGATTTTAATGTGTTCTCAAGGGGCTTCATTTGGTTCTGCATTTTTCTCTCAAAAGTATATTTCTGCTGCATGAAAGCATCTTAGTGTCTATCGTGATGGCATTGCTCACATAAATGCATGTGTGTGTAACGTGTGTGTGTGCGTGTACACAAGTCCAGAGTTTTGGGGGGATCTTAGTGTGTGTTTATGTCACCAACCTGTGCGTCTGTCCGACAAGCAGAGAGTACCGCCCCTCTCTGCTAACAGACAGTGCACTTTTGCCACACCTGTGCTTTTTACGTTGGGTTTTGCGTGTGCTCCTGATTGTAGAGTTATTCCTCTGGACTTCTCATAGTGTATGATCTCTGACAGGCCTTCTGCGGTTTCAGTTTTTTAGAAGTATTTTTTTTTAACATACAGTATTATTAGAACAACCATTATGAGTATTCCTAGCTCTTGTGTTATCTATAAGGTTTTCCGTGTCTGTTTCTATGTACAGATGTGGTTAAAGTAGTTTTAAAGGATGCACAGTTAAAAGCACCTCCCTCCTAGTTTTCAGATACTTCATTTATATATTTTTCTAGCAAAGAAATTATAGACATATATACATATCTGCATATGCATTACATATATGCATGTGATACACATACATGAGCATGCATGTATGAGCATGTGTTTTACTACATAGATGTACCGTGCATAATGTGAACCTTAATTTTGTACATATCTTCGGTGTATCCATCTGTTGGCATGTGTCCTCTTGGTTTGTAGAGTCTCATGATACGGTGGAGCAGGTCCCAAATGAGGGTACTTGAGATCAATCTTTTGCCATGAACAACGTCTTACGCATATACTCACACGTGTATGCACAAGCTAGTATGTGTCACCAAGTGAGACAAATGGAACAGCTGAATCAGAGCAAGCTATGCGTGCCTGGTGTCTGCCCAGTTACCACTTAAGGTTTCTGTTTGCGTTTGCTGAAGTGCTGTTTAGTTCAAAGCCAGCCTCTGACTACGCTGACACCTGCGCGCTCTTTCGATGGACCCTCAGGGTTTCTGAAGCGGAGGAGGTTTGTAGTCCCCGAGGCTGACTGAGGCAGAGGCAGTGGCTTTTGACACCTCGCTAGTATCCGTGTCTGACATGCAGTGTTTGATCGCCTACAGCCACCACCTTCTGTTTTTCCTCCCATGTGACAGGTGCGGGCCTTGAGCCCTGTGTTCTCTTCCTGTCAGGTCCCTGGCTCTGCCGAAGCCAGGGCTTGTCTCCTCCGGCCAGGTGTGCCCCCTGAGCCTGCCTTCTCTCCTGCCTCCCCGGACGGGTGTTTCCTTCCTTCTCGCCGGGCAGCAGAAGTTATTCCACTGTAGAAATTTAAGCATCCTCAATCCCTGGCCCCCTGCTTTTGCTGTGGTTTCTTGGAGTAAATTGTCAATTTCTGTTTTTACAGGAAATCTTTTTTTTTTTTTTTTTTTTAATTTAAAAAGATGGAATCATCATGGTCTCCATTCACTCAGCAAAAGCTATGTTTTCCCCAAATTTCCAGTGAAATTTGCATGTTTACTTATTTTTACATTATACTTATTTATTGTATGTGTGGGCAACACAGTGTGTGTGTGTGTGTGTGTGTGTGTGTGTGTGTGTGTGTGTATGTGTGTGGCCAGAGGACAACTTGTAGGCACAGAGTGCCTCACTCTATCATTAGGTTGTGGGTATTGAATTCAGGTTGTCATGCTTGCTGGTAGGCCCCTCTACCTGCTGAGCCATCTCACTGGCTCGAAGTTTGCAAGCTTAAAAATAATTTTCAAATAGTAAATGCACACAGTAGCTCTCTTTTGCCTGACCATTGCTTAACACGGGTGAAATCACTGGATGAGAAGTAATGCAACCCTAACTGCCTGCATGTCAGTTCATAAGAATTTTTTTTTTTCAGCTAAATTTTAACACGGTGATTAGGCAAAAAAATAGAGGATGGCTCAGTAATACATGCACACACCACCACAAACTGCCACCAACAATAACCAGCTCTAGTTGGAGAGCAGCAGCTATGTGTCCTTTCCTTATAATTGCCTTATTGCTTTAGTGCCCAAATAAGGAAATATTACAGTTTCATGTCAAGGGGAAACATTCCTTAGACTGAAACTCCTTTTCCCAAGTCTCCAGTTATAGGGAATATGTCTTGTGTCCTTGGTTCATGGGTTGACAGGCTGACAGGCTGACAGCTGACAGGTTGACAGGCTGACAGGCTGACAGCTGACAGGCTGACAGGCTGACAGGCTGACAGGTTGATGGTTAATTGGTTGACAGGCACAGGAGTCCCATTGCGTTTTGTAAAGTTTGTCACCCTTCCCATGATTTTTCTTTTTTTGTCTTTGTTTATTTGTTTACATTGTCCAGAGTTCTTACACCATATCGAACAGTTCATAGCCAGGGTAGATTATGTGATGGCAAACTCCAGGGATTAATTACAGAAGCGTGTTTTAAAACAAATTGGTGGGAAGAACAGAGGCTTTGCAAAGCCCCATTTGTTCACAAAGACAACTTTAAGACTCACCTGAAGTTCCGCAGTCTCCTGATCACCTATATGGGAAGTCCCAGACAACGACATCTTATGCCTTCACATTAATGAGAAGAGGGAGCTAATATGTTGGGACATGATTTAAAACACAGATTTTTCCTTCCTTCCTTCCTTCTTTCCTTCCTTCCTTCCTTCCTTCCTTCCTTCCTTCCTTCCTTCCTTCCTTCCTTCCTCTTTCTCTCTTTCTTTTTTCTCTGTTTCTTTCTTTCTTTCTCTCTCTCTCTTTCTCTCCCTTCCTTCCTTCCTTCCTTCCTTCCTTCCTTCCTTCCTTCCTTCCT